TATACATATATATATATATATAGGTCTGTATTTAGCTTCATTTCCATTCATATGTTTGAGCTACTTGAGCTATTTCCATGATTTTGTTTTCAAGTATGCAGCTCAAATTAAATAAATTATCCAAGATAGATAAAGTTCCAGTCACATCTCTTGCACATTTAACCCCTCTGGAACTCTGCATAAACCATGTCAGTCATGAGGCCTCCACATTTTGGACCTTCTACCCATCTTAGTTTCAGCTGTTTTTTACAATATAAAAATCCCTTTTCTATCCTTCATTTCATTGAACCACTCCTCTTTTCAAGCTCCATTCAGTCTTTGACACTTCTTCACTTGCCTGAGCGGGAGCTCTTCCTTTGAACTCAATCCCTTTCACAATTGTTGCCTTACTTGAACAACGACTGGCTCTGAACGCAGCAGGCATAATGCCTGGCCCCGGCAGAGTACTGTGCGCGCTCCTACGGGGAGATGCAACTCCAGGGATTGGTCCACACAAGTGAGTTTTGCTGGTTTAATGAGGAAACTTTTTTTAAAATTCACCAGCACACCACCTGCATATGCTGTCATGCTTAATTGTCACCAGCCCATGCCGAGTATGGGGTAATATATGGGCTCCTTCCCTAGCAGTACTGACTGCTACGAGAGAGGCATTAGTTTACATCCCTGCTGGGAGATTGTGCCTGATCTGGGAAAAGGTTAGGCTGGGCTTAAAATGCCAGCTCTCCATGGGAGAGGAAAGAGCCCGGCTCCTCTCACGGCCTTCTGCTGGGGGTGACAAACCCCGCTCTGGACCTGGCGGCTGGAAGTGAACACAGCTCTGGGTGAGAAGTACGTATGAGGTCTTCCCCCTGCCAACAAAATTAAGACAGAGGCTGTACCTCTGTAGCCAAACTCCAATTTCATCTTCTGCCACATACACCCTCTGTGCTGTTGGCATATACCCCATGTTGGTCAGGTTTTCAGACACGCGAGTTGAGCTTGGCCCAGCTGTTTCTCTTCTCCATTCAGGCTTCAAGTAAGATGCCGAGTGCTCGCTTTCACTTCCTTGGCTGCTGTGGGCTTCTTGCTTTTTCAAGCCCAAAATGGCAAAGGTGGCTGAGATAGATAGATAGACAGATGATAGATAAAAGATTTCCGTTAACAGCTGCACAGCCTTGCTGCTGTACTGCCAGCCTGCCTTTGCCAACCCAAATCAGATTTGTATCATCTGTCTTCAAGGTGATTTAAGCTCACATAATTTCCTTGAGAAAGGGGCAGGGTGAAAGCACGCACATGACTCCAGACAGCTGAACTAACTTAGAGCAGTTCAAAGTCACAAGTTGGATTTGATTATGTGACTACACATCCACAAACCACTTGCCTTTTCTAAACAGAAAAATGTCAGTGTTCTCTTCAGTTCTCCCCACCCTTACGGGTCTGCAGCAGTTACAGTAACTAAGCTTCTACTCACACTTGCAGCTAAACAAGTGTAACCGTCTCACAGAGCCATGCATTTTCTGTCAGCTTGGTGACAGTGACCTACATATAGCCAGTTTTCTAGCACTAGTAACTACTGGTAAGTCAGTAGTCAGAAGCTTCCCACCAGCGAGAGACCCTGAGTTCCTTCTTTTGGGGACAAACTATTGGCAACTGTGCAATCACCACAAATAGGAAACCTCCTCATGAACTTTATTTCTCTTTAGTTTTGTAAGCAGTTGGGATCCAGTCAAACAAGGTCAAATTGCAATCCAATAAAAGCTTGCTATTCAAATTTGACAAGTTAATTATATTGCAACACTTTCTACTAGTAAAACGTTCATTAAACACAGTGAATTTTTAAACAAGATTAGTATAAAGCTAGTCCTTAAAACAGAAACCATCAATAAAAGGATCCTATGCTAATAAAATTTGCAGACAACTACTTCTAACTGTCCAGAGCACAGACCTTGCATTTAAGTAGAATAAATGGAATAGATTTTTGAGCCAATGGGAACTTCAGTCTAATTGTAAGAAACTGAATGAACTAATTGAAAAATATCACAAGAAATTGAAGTTATTTACAGTCACGTGGTTAAACCACTAAATTCAAAATAAATACTCTTCAATCAATAAAAAAGTACTACTATCCTTTCTGTGTGTGAAATGGAATGCTTTAAACTTAAGTGCCATTATCCAAATCCGATGAATATTCAAAATGCTATGATATTTTCCATTCCAGCAATGTTCTGCCAATTGCATAATTTTTAGGTGTGGAAAGTACTTTTGAAACCATTCTAAATGTGCATACGATAAAAACCAGGGTTTTTTTTGTACAGCATTTTGATTTGAAGACTAATGAAAATTACTAGGCACAAATCAGCCAAGGGAAAAAAACAATACATCACTTACTTACATAGCTGTTGCTTAAAAGAAAAAGGCAGGGGAATTTAGAATATATTTCTCACTTTATTACCACATTACTTGACCATTTCTAAACAGGGATGACGGTGGTACTGCTGGTCAAGAAGAGAGAAAAAACTACTTCTTACGTGTTTAAGCATACTTAAGTACTTGGAGAAGATACTGGTATATTTTAGAAACTACATTACACATGTACACGTACTTGTAATTACCTGAATATAGTTCCAAATTTCAAGATGTTGGTTGTTTTGCAGAATTATGTTTTATGTATCAGTCCCAAAATATGGTTACTTGTGTATAAAAAAGGCCCCTCTCTTAACGTATCTGTATTCTGCAAGGTCATTTAGTGACATTCTTTGGCCACTGACCTCTGCTATTTGTGTATCATTTCAGTTCTTTCCCACAACACATTTTATAACAACGAGGAAGTGGTGAAGAATCACGTGGAAGGCTTGGGAGGCAACACCTAATTCCATTTTTAGTGAAAATACACAATGAAAGAAGTACATTCTACATGCTCGCTTTCCGCTTTCCTATTTTCTGAAACCCCAGCAATTAATGTTACATTGCCGATTGGCAAGCAGAATATAAATGTAAGAAGAGAACAGGAAATCCCATTTTATATTGGAATCATCTGCCTCACACAAACTTATTAGGGGGGATGTTCACCCAATGTACCTGGAGCAGGTACACAGTTTACTTATTGCTTTAAATAGCTGCAAGAGTTAATGAAATTCAGAAGAGCGTATCATCAGTAAATGCTATTCAAGATAAACACAGATACAGCCATCTTGTGTAAACTTTCCAATTTCAGCCTGTTTAAGCCCAAATACCATTTTCATGACACTACACGCTTAACGATGAAATAACATATGGCACAATATCTTTTCCAGGAAAGATATGCTGACAGAAAAGTATTGCAGAATAAAATCTGACCAACTGGAATGTTTGCCCTGAACTAGATACGAACCTAGTTGGCTAACGGCAGTCACAGAGCAAACCCAAATATGTTTTCCGTCCCTATTTTTAATTTAGACGGTATCTTTACAAGACAGCAGAGGGCTTGGCCCACTCTGTAAAGCAGACAGAATTTTGCAATTAGCCTCTGTGGGTCAAAAAGCCCAGGCCCTACAGTTACTTAAGACATCAAGAAATTGGTGTGTTAAGGAGCAAAACAAGTACAATGCCAAAGAAATGCTGAACTGAGCAACGGAGTTAGTGAGGGCGATTAGCAAAATCTGTTCTTTCGTATTGGCAAAATATCAGCAACTCACAGGATTCTTGAAACGCAAGGTCTTACTCGCAGGAAAAGTCCGTGTCCAGTCCGACCCCATCGCTCCCGCTGCAGCCGTTAGTCGCGGGAGCACAGTTTCCCCCATCCGATACCTGCTGCTCGCAGCACTCGGACATACTCTGACCGAGGCAGACCTGCGTTTCTTTTTGTTCAGTACCGTAGCTGGCACGACGCGTTTCCTGCGATCCCCCATCATCCTGGGTAGCCCCGTCGTCGCTCCCCGCTGCCTCCTCTCCCAAGTCTATGACCTCTGCGTCGGGCTTTCCTCTTGTCGACATTTGCGCTTCTAAGTTTCTTGTATTCTCTGTGACCTCAAATTCCTGCTCCTCCTCTGCCATTTGCTTCTCCCTGGTGCTTAATTTAGCCTTCATGGATTTCTTCATTTGTTTGTTGTGCATATCTTCCCTGGAGAACCTCCAGTGAAACTGCAAGTAAGAGATCCCAGTGTTAAAGGTCACCTGAAACAAACTCAAGTGGACGCTTGCTTTCCTGAATAGAAATGATTTTATTATTCAGTTTTAATTCAAAGGTTAGTTTGATCAAAAAGACCTGTGATTAAAAAAAAAGAAGTATGAGTAAATCAGATGGCTTAAGACCGTTTGCGTATGTAGCTATTACACACAGAAGAGAGGCTCTGTTACGTATCCTGCCTCTGCTGTTTCACATGCCTAACAGGTTTCTTTCTAAAGGATGTTTCACCACTGAGGTAATAACCCACAGCGTCCTGGCAGACAATGTGCGTGGGGCGGGGGGAGAAAGCAAGAAAATGGAAAGCTGCACAGATGCAGACAGAGGAAGCAATACTTATAGCATTATTCCCATTTTTTCATCGGGTTAGCAGAGAACTAATGAAGTCTGGCTGATACACGTGCCTGCATTCACCCACTGCAAAGGCAACAGTGCTACAAGAGAAAACGTAAAAAGATCAGCTTGCTTGTTCTGCACGTTCGGATGGGAAGTGTGTTATGTCCATGCTGGCAACGTGCACTGCCAACGTGGCAGTGCATGTGTTATAATAAAATTTTGTAAGAAAGTTTTCCAACTGTTCTTTAGTGTCCAGAAAAGTGTTGTCCCCGTGTAACAGACTGTATGAAGGCCCGCTGCGTGGAGCTACTGTAAAGTGGCTCCAAAGGTTTTTCTTATCCAGAAGCCTGTAGTGCACAGGCGACCAGCATCGGCAAGGTGAAACCAGCGTTTTGAAACCTTTACAAACCTTTCAAAGCCAGGCCAGAGGCTGAAAAGCAGCAGATGCATAATCTGATCTGCTTGTACTACTCCATAAACATGTCAAAGAAGCCACAAGTGATTTTAGATTATGATATTTGTAAGGACTTAATATTTAAAATAGAGTGATAAAGACTACAACAAACTAAAATATTCTGAACAATTTGTATAAAAGTTTTTTGAGGAGAAAGCATGAAGCCGCCTCTTGCAGCACTCACCACAAGACTTACCACAACCGCTATTTCAGGGCAGCTGTTTTAACTACTATTAAAAAAAGAGAGAACCAGCAGTACCATGAAATACTGACATGAGAGATATAACATATATAAGCCTGACAAATATGCCATTAACTTATCTGCTTCTTTGGTCAAAAAGATAAACTGACCTTTCCAAGAAAAGCTAGAGCATGCTCCAAGCCACTGGTGAGCCATCTTACAGAATTTTAATAAGTCCTTGGGAAACTGCACAAAATTTCAGCAGCGGTATCCAGGCTAATGCAAACTCAGCGACAGGTTTAGGAGGAAATGCTTGGCACCTTCCTCACTGCATAAATCATCTCATCTGGACGTGCAGCAAACTGAGCTGTGGTCCAGAAGCCTTTTATTTTCCAGTGCAACCAAGACTGTGCCAAAGACTCTTGCTCAAGAGAAGGGTACGTTCATAAATTTTTGATTTAGCTATGTATTCCTTAATCAAAGAGGCCACTCAAAACCTATTAGATTAAGTTTGTTACACTACAACGATGGAGCAATGCTCTTTCTTTCGGCTAGACAGAACTCAATGTAAGAAAAAATCCCACTAATATGTAGAAACTGGCTTTCATAACATTCTTCTTCTTTTATTTAGAGGAAGATAACTTTTCCCTTTCTCTAATTTTAAAAATATTTAAGTGAAAGATGACATCTCAATTTTACAGCGTAGCTGTTTAAAATTCAGACACCTGACAATTTTCCTCTTTGATTTTCAGCAGTGCTGAACACCCACAACTCCTCTTTAATTCAAAGCTCTCTCAGAGAAGGTAAGATCAGGACCCTGAGTGTAATGAAAATTAAACTATAGGAGGCTCTGTGTGTGTCTGCGTGTGCGCGCGTCCATATATATGTATACATACACAGGTGTACACATTGCATCTCACAAAAACGTACACAGCTAGTTTCTGCGGAAATAAGCATAACATCGCTATAAAGTGAACGAACACGATTACCTCATCACTGACTGAAAACTGCATTAGTAAGAATACTTCTATCTTATAGAAAAGTAAAAGAAATTTTACAAGTCCTTGCATGTTTCCTTTTCTGTTAATCTGGCTAAGATGAACAGCAGTTGGTTGATATGCATAGATAGTTTCCAACACTACAACTTCCTTTCAATCTTATCAACGCATTTCCCTCCTCCAAGCGTTCATCTGTAAACGTTTTAAACATGCTGTATTACGAGTTACTAAACCCCCAAACCAATAGATCTGAGAGCCTGTGACACTGTATGTGCGGAACAGGCAATAACTTAATCAAATGCTAGGTTTGGCGTCTTTTATCTGACTTACAACAACCAGTTACAGCTGTTGAACAAGTCTTACAAATCTTTATGTAACTGTAATCAATGATGTGCCCCATTTTTCTTGACCGTTACACCAAAAATGTATTACTTCATTAATTTCTCCTCCCATATATGTCTATATATTTAGTAATGCTTACAAGCAAATCCTTTATGTCAACCAGACATTGTTAAATAAGCTTTGCTTTTAGATATCCAAATGAAAAAATCAAAACAAATTTTTGAGTCCTCTTGACGGTATGCAACTGTTACTTCAGCACAAGAAATCAGTATCGTACCGATTTATCTATTTGAAGACACACAATGGTCCCAACCCACCCATTAAAGCCACACAAAATGGTGGCAAAAGACCGACTGAACACAGCCACTCCAGCCTTCACCCCAAGAGCCCTTTAATCACCTGAAACCCAAGAGATAAAACAAGAAGGATGGGCTCTGCAACACGGTCAAAGGATAATCTAGGCTGCAGCTGAGCTAACAAGAGAGGGTAAATCCTAAATCACAGCCAGTTCACTCCGACTTTGGTCAGTTCAAGTATTCTCCTGATCTCCACTGAAGCTAAAAGATGGCCTTCCAAAAAACCAGGCTCCACACCAGCGAAGGCTTTTTAGATGAAAACAATTTGTAGTTATCCAGAACGCTGGATACCCAAACGCTCTTAGTGTTCGGCTCTGCTTCGCAGCTCCAATACCTCGCACAAGACCAGCCTCTCCGGGCCAATTTTTTGGGGGTCTTTTTCCATACTTCTCTTGTCTTCCTGATCATTCCCATGCCATACGGAAAGGGCAAGGCAAATTGAAAGGTGATGGGAAGGTCAGCACTTTCCCCTCTGTCCGTCTAAACCAGCCCTTGTCCTTCCTCCGCAGCCGTACAGCGTGCCAGGTTGGGGCAGCGGTTGCCGCAGCTGCGCCTGTAAACAGGCGGATGGGAATACAGACGTGCATCCACACCCACGGGCCAGGAGCTGTCAGCCACCTTCTCAGTTAATCCAGCTAGGTTCAGGGGGTTTTTTTGGTTAAATTCTAGCAGAATTCATTAACATTCAAGCAACAGCTAGAAACACCCAGCCAAGATCAGGCTTGCACTGTCCTAGGCTCTACCTCCACGCCTAGCAAGACAGAGATCACAGTCTAAACGGAAAAGACAGGCAGTGGGCGAGAGACAACAGTGCCGTTTCCACCTTGCAGGCTGTGAATACGGGCAGAGGATTTTAGGTCACGTACGGAGGTTTAGGGCAGAGCTGCAAAGAGAAACGTACATCTCTTCTGCCGACCCGAGCTCAACAGAGAACGAAACATAAGAACTTTCAGGTCCTTTGAGCATTTTCTGCCTCTTTCATTTGAACGGTTCGTTTCACTGTGTCTTGCTACTGTTTCGCCAAGCTTCTGTATGCCAGAAATGTTGAACAGGCCATTTTGATTTCTATGGGAAATCAACGAAAATATTGAAATACTGCCAGCAAAAAACAAACCAGCAACGCAAGGATATTTACCTTAGATTCTTTCTTCTTTGCTTTCTGGGGCAAAGAAGGTCTCTGAAGAAAAACAATTTGCTTAGTGGATAAATTTCCCTCCCTGAAAAGAAACAAATGCACACTCCTGAGAATGATTAAATCCACATGCGGTCATTCAAAGCCCCAAATCCATCTCAGTCATTTATTTCTGCAGGTCCAAGAAGAATAAAATGAACAATGACCTAAACACCGCCTGTTCCCAGTGTCTTTAAGCAGCCTGGTATTTTGGCAGGGGTGGGGGAAAATCAGCTATTCAGCCTGATAGATCTAAAACACACGAGTCAATCTGTGACATATTTTTGCTGAACGTTTTAGCATTAGCGTGTAAACACAGAGTAAGCTGTTTTAAACAAAGAGCGAGAAAACCTTAGCTCCACGGCGCGTCTGCGTAGCACAGTGTCAGTGAGACAGGCGCGTTCGCTCCTTCGCAGGGCACAGATCCAGGATGGGGCCGCGCGAGCCCCACCGCGGTGGAGCAAGGCAGGAGGCACAAGCAAATGCCACCAGCACTTTAGACTGGGTGTCCTTCTGCACTGTCAACCTCACCCGTGCTCCTGGCATTATTAATGAGCGACAGAAACCCAGAAGAGCGAGGAAAAGATACACATCTTTAAGAGGCAGTGCTTACAAACCATAACGATGATTATTCCATTCACTGCTACATTTAAACATACATGAAAAACCTGAATACTGGTTTTCCCCCAGCACAGATGGCCTTTCTCCATTTTGGGTTTTTATGGGCAGCATCAGCCTTCATCTAGAGCTCTTTGAGAAGTAGGCATATTTTTAAGAGAAAAAATTATGATTGATTATATTAATGTACATATAAATACATTCCTGACCAAAGAAATAATCAATCTGAAACAAAAAATCCAGAACGTTCAGCCTCAATGGTTAACAGTTGGGAAGACTATTTTTCACCAGTCATGAAGCATGGTTTTAAATTTTTATTTAAAAACCCCAAATATTAGTAATGGCAGAGCAGACCGCAGAATCATCACCTACGCAAACAAGGCTGCTCGAGTAATGATATCCTAATCGCAGACGGTCCCGCTCAGCTGGACTGTGTCTACCACCGGCATCAGACAGCCAACGATCACCAATAAAATGAGTTTTGACAGCGAGGCAACACCTCCCTCCAAAAAAGCTTTTTTGCCTTTGCTCTAAGTGAAACCACGGGGACATCCAGAGCAGGAGTCTTACAGTCGAGGCGCTTACGCAGAGGCAGCGCCAACGCGCAGGAACGGGCAGAAAGCTCCCGGGAAGCACGCAGGTGAGCTGCCAGCCGTACGCCGCCAGGGAATTCAGCAGCGGCACGTAATCCGTCTGCACCTCCGCTCCCTAGGAAAGGAAGGAAAGAGCAAGAGCTAGCGTTATCACTCGGAGCGTGACGGTCCGTTTGACTTTGGGGAAAAAAAAAAAAAAAGGGGAAGAAAAACATGTGTGTGGGTTTTCTGGCAGGGAGAGAGGCGTTTTTGCACTGAAGTGGGTTGTTTTGTATGTTCAGCTAAGCAGGAAGGAAAACATTGAAAAACTCGAGACAAAGACTTGATCACCCGTTCATCCCAAACTGCTGACCTGGTTTGTTTAAAACATTAAACATGTGGTTTTCTTTTTACACTGCCTGAATCCTGCCTCCCTGTAGCCCCATATCCATATAGCTTTAGGTCACTCCAGACCTAAATAGGAGTGATTTGCTCTGTTTTATCAGCAGTCCCCTGCACAAATTGTCTCTGGCGACTTTCAGTGGGGGTAAATAGGAGAAGCAAAAAATACGGAACAATAATCTCCTTCCAAGCAAAAAGATATTCAAGTAGCTAAAAAAAGGCAACATTGCCTAGTCCAGATTCTGCGCTTGTCCAGGTGAGAGTAATTCGGAAGAACGGCACTCAGATTAATCGGGTTACTCCACAGTGGTGGCTCAAGGGCAAAACGGCCAGCAACCGCAGAGAGAAAAAATAAGTACAGGTCTATTACAGGTCGATTCCTTCTATCATCCACAAACAAACAAGCATCGCCTCCTTGCTATTTTGAATCAGGAAATCTGTGGATGCGACCAAAAACTGTTGTGTTTCAGCGCAGAAATCTGGCTTCAACCACAGATTTTATATAGTAGAGCCTTGCTTATTCTCTCCCTACCAAATAGCAAACCCTGTAATCCAGATTGCTCCAGTGAGGTAGCTAATTGCCAAGACTTTCATTAACTTAACAACTACATACCAGAGCACAGTTATGAGTTTTTAATTTTAATAAATACAAAGCAGGCAAATGGGAACTGCTAGTCTCTACAAACCTAACTATATTCCCTTAGAACAACAACTATATTTGCCAGAAAGCCCAGACACGTATACTGGTTTTATGTGCATGCAAGCTATTTTAATTGCCTATTCTCAAAACTGGGTGAGGTACAATAGTTCTCCCAGTAAATGTTAATCAGGGCAGTTCCAAAAAATCCACTTATTCTGAGTAATAGTCATTTGATCAGAATTAATTCAAATCTGGCTGTAGTATTTCAAAGTATTTTAGTGATTTCCAATCTCAACTATTCTTTCCTTCTAATGAATGTAATTTAGGTCACTTGATATCTTCATAACTGAATGACTGCCTGATTATACCTATTAAAAACCTGATCTTCACTGCAAATGCAAATAGCTGAAGGAGCTGTATCACTCCTGCTAAAAAGGAGAATATATGGAAAAATCTTCCCCAGAAACTGCATGCAAGAGCACAATGAACTAACCTTACTTCTCGTTTCTATACAGACACTTTCAGGGGCTTATTGAGATACAGCTGCTTCACAACATCACCACGTACAGACCAGTAATACCCAGAGAGGAAGGATATGCCCTGCAAGAGGAGAGCAGGTACCAACGGGCCTCTGATACATCCCCTCTGAAGCGGTCAGGGCTCCTCACTAGCTGTGATCGTGGCAGATTCAGAGCCTCCACAGATTCCCATTTCCCTCCTTACCCTTCCCACTCTGTCCTTGCTGTAGGATGGGTATTTCCTCCCTCTTTCCAGTTCTTAGACTAGAGTGTCCAAGGGTAACGCAAAGAGGATGACACATCTAGGTGCCTTTAACAGCTAGTGTCTCAAGAAAACAGATTAGTAACACGCTGAGGTTTATCAAATTAGTCAGTGACGCCTTCTATGCTTAAAAGTGCTCCAAAAATAAGGTTGAAAATATGCAACGTTAGAATCATTAAGAATGGGGTCGGAGCACCTGCCACGAGGCGCCAGGAAGGACCCACAAAAGGACCTGACTGAAACACTCCCTCTGCCTAACAGTGTTCGTAGGGGAAAAACCAGAAGCAGCTCACTCATACCCAGAGCGTGAGGATAGCAGGTCAGGAAAGACAGGCATAGCAGACCTTGTTTGTGCCCCAAGCAACACCTCATGTTGCAAAGAGGATTTCTATTTCAAATTCATCGCCTGAGGTTGGTGATCACCAAGGAGAACCTTCTTGTTACAGCAGGATATGCAATGAATGTCAAAAATCAGAGTGATGTTAAGGCGATGAGGGAGGACATCCATACCACACAGAGCTCATTTGGCTGCTTGCAGAAGCCAAATTGTTCCAGGGATGCGCTGTCACTCCTGCCACAGCCCATAGTCCCCACAGGCTCTGGGCGGCGAGACAGGGCTGGCTTTGGACCTGTCTGACTTGTCAGGTTTAAGCATCATCTGCAGCAGATGATGCCGTATTTCACCATGCCAGCGGTGCAGGAGGGAAAAGAGTAGGTGAAGGTTCAAAAATGTAGTTATGTGAAACTAAATTTAAGATTAAATTAAATTAAGCTTCAAGAAAATAAAAAAAAAATCTAGAAAGGGAAAAAAAAAACCTGTTGCAAGAGTGCTGCAAAATTGTTAGGTGACTTCCTATTTCCTCTACGTACTGCTACCCAACACCACAATCTGCGTGTTGGCCTGTTTGGAGGAAGAAAGCGTATATATCACGCAGAGGTCCACAACTCCTCCAAGCGCCTCGTGCTCTTTGACAAGCTCTGATCGACTCTGCACGCGTCTTCTGCGGAGTCAGACGTGGCACCTCTTCCCCGCCCCCGGGGGGATAAACTGCTCCGAATAAGTAGCTGTGCTTGAAGGTGACAGACAAGAAAAAGGACTCGCTCCTGAATAAACGGGCGCAATTCCTACGGGCTTCAAGCTCCCTACCTCCAAAATTTAGATAATTGCAGCTTTAAGACCACACAAAATTAATTATCCCTCCCCATCCAGAGCCTTCACTAGTAATCCTGTCCCACCACCGGAATTTGTGTCGCAGCAGGAGGGGCACTTGTACAGACCTTCAGGACAGTTAGACAAAGAATTGGTGTCATATTAAACGCTTTCCAAAGCAAAAATGCATCGAAACAAACAATGCACTGGGGGCTGGGCGGGGAGGAAAGCAGTCATCTTGTGCTTATTTTACATTTAATACAAGAGACCATCAGAATTATTTTATCTATTATTATGTGAGACAATGGGAATATAATTTCAAACATACAGTTTCATAAGATGAAACTGCAATGCTCTTTCTAGCTAACAAACTAGGACTGAAAAAACCAGTAGGAGTAGAAAGCACATGCCAGCTCTCTGCTGAAATAGAAGTGTTCAAATAATAATGTGTATCAAACTGGGAGACATTTCATTCAGTGAAAGGGTGGAAAATTTTAATTAACTTGCTTCCCACTCTCCTGTGGATGATAAGTAATCTCTGATCACACCTTGAGTGTCAAGAAGCCAGAGCATATTGAGCTAGGTTTTTTCCTTGACTTGTTTCACATGAAAAGAATTCATTTTATTTATAGTTTTACTGTTTGTTTTCAACATTTTCTTCTCTCACAGTAGCTTTAGCTCATTAGAAAAACCTAAAAAATATGATTAAAAAAGGATAAAGATAGTATCTAGGGCAAGCCACACAAACAACTGCTTTAACAATTTTTCTTTTCTTTTTTTCTCTGCTACTGCAGCGATTTTAACCACAGCGAGATAATAAACAAGACAACTACTAAGCTCTTGTGAGACAGAAGAAAGTTCTTTAGAAATCATTCTTTCCTGGGCTAAGTGAATGTGATTTAGTTACAAGGCAGCTACGGATTGTCTCTGCTTAATATTTTCTTCCAAGGTGGATTAGCGAATGGCAAGATGGAGAATCCCATTAAATAAGTCTTAATAAAACCTCTAAGAGCAAATCCTAACAGACTGAGTACTAAGACCGAGGGACAGATGGCAAAGAGGACGGGAAGTGAAAAACACAGACACTTTACAAACACAGCCTACTGCTCATGGGGCAAAATGGACAGTGTATTCACACCCAATTCCTTCCAAAAATATAAAAGATAACCCCTTAGAGATGCAACGTGCACCCCTGCCCAGTAGTGATCTACAAGTCTCCACCACCACCAAAGTCACACTTTTTTCCTAGCTCATTGAAGGGAGGAAGAAGTAGTGGTGAAGGCAAGACTTGCACCTTACTTAAAAGAAGGAAAAGAAAAAGAGAGAAATTAAATGCATACGGGCTGTATGAGAATGACCTGGTAAGAGCTGCTGCAAAGTTTTGCGTTTGCAGGCACACACAGAAGACAAGGAGAATGAATACATGCTCTAAATTTGTGAATGATTTTTCTGTTCCATTTTTGGGCTTCTTCCATAGTCATATTCTTCCAATATGACATTGTCGACCCATTAAAAACGTTTACTGTAAGCAAAAGGGAATTTTCACAAGTGTTCCAGCAGTTGAAATTGGATCACGCTCCTCTAGTATTGACCTTCTCCTCAATTTTAACGCAGAGCCCTACAGATTCTTGTTACTATACACATTTCAAGATGTATGCATGCTGCTGAGTAGCATTCACATCTGTCTACATGGCAAGGTTGAAATAAAAAAACACAAAAAAAAGTCCAGTGCCTACAACACCCACTTCTCTCAGCGACTTTGGTGGATGCAAATCCTACTTTCTGGCATATGCATAAACAGTAACAATGTTTGAGTGCTCCTGATACTCCCTGCACCTGCAAAACGTAAGCACATTCGTGCAGGGACACAGCTTTGTTTTTAGCAAAGCAAAAGGTAGGCACCAAAAGCTCCACACAGTGAACATACTGACACAGTGCATGCTCCTCACAGGAGCAAGTGTGCAAGCATCTTAAAAAATGCATTAAACTTAATATTGCATAGGGAACACACACATGACAATTCCAGATACCTGGCCAGAGAGCAGAAGAAATAAATACGATCTAGCCATCAGTGCATTTTTTAAAAATAATCAAATAAAAATATTTGTAATGAAATAGTTTTTTAATAAAAAGCATTTTTAGTTTCGCAATTCCTGCAGCACTTGTGCACTCTGTCTTTAGCTGAGCGCTGATTTCACGGTTTGCCCATCAACCGTTTTTGTAATAAAAGCATAGAAAAACACAATCTGAGAAATTGTATGATCCAGGGTATCTTACCACATATGTGGCTTAATCTTCTCCACGCAGCTCCCCCAGTGTAATTTCTTTCAGTTATAGCTTATCCGTGAACAAAATTCGGCTTTTTCAAGGAGCCTTTTTCGCTGACCGCTCCTTCCATATGAAACGAGTCACCTATTTCCATGCAAGCAGCACAGGCCCTTCCCGGCCACATGCTTAGCCCACAGGAGAGCACACCTCGAGGAGAGCACACCTCGGAGCTGCCCCTCTCTAGCATTGCTGCTCATGCGATTTGTGGGGTGCCAGCACCTGCTTCCCGCACCCCCACCCCAACCAGCCTGGAGGCAGCGCAGGGCCACAGAGTCCTCCACCGTTGGCCCGGACCCTGCCAAAAGCTGAGCTGCCGGGGAAAAGACATGGGATTTGTGCCCTTTTTGGTTCTCTCTGAAGTACAAAAGAGGCCTGAAATGCTTCTTCTCAGCATGCTCTTAAATGGAAAGTTCAGATCCGATATGCTCCTTTTTTTCCTGAAAGGTTTTATGGGTGAATGGAGAACGAATTCTTATCTATGATCCTGTCACAAACCTAAGCAAACCGTGACAGACAAGAAGTGATTTATTTGCTCAGATTATTTTAAATCCTGTGTTTTTCTGGCTGCTTTGTTCAAGTGCCCTTTGCTCATACAGAAATATTTGCTTTGTTAGACTATCACTGCTTCAAACTCCACAAGTAAGTATCAGAAAAGTTTATTACTAAATTTATCAGCAAAACCAAACAAAGAATAGCCCGTGCATTGCATGCTATGTAGTGCGTACGTCTACTGAGTTCAGCAGGTAAACATATGCAAATATATACTGCTTTTTTACCTAATATAAAAGTAAGAAAACAGCATTATAAAGCCTCCCAAAGGTTTTTTTCAGCTTTTCTTAAAAAGCAAAAAGGGGCAACATATTAAATATTAAGCCCAGGCAAGATATATCCTTTGGGTGCTACAGAGGGTCACCCACAGAACTGCATTTCATGCCCGTCACCATCAGCTCCTCTGCTGACCTGGTCGTGTCCCTCTCCTATGGCTGGAGACAACAGAATGTAGCTTAATTGACATATGATCTAAATCAGATTTACAGACGAATTAAACCCTCATTTCCAGCAATTTTTTTCAAAGGCTTACATTAAGACAGCTCACAAGCTAGGCTCAGTAGAGATCGTTTTTTAAATCTTTTGATGCGCTGCACTGTAAGAGGTTTACCGTGTCTACAGCTGATACTGACCCCAACCCATTCTGCCAGGGAAACACCAACTTTGCGGTATATTTGAGATTATAATTCATGTCACTACATCAAAGATACAGTATAGCAGAAAGCCAAAAAGTAATGAAGCGCCAGCTAAAGATGTCCAATGAGAAAATACCTGTAAATTAAGGAACAATATTTTCAGAATGAACAAGACTTCAGAGTAAGAATAATGCAGAAATCTGAAGGAGATGTCAAGGCACTCAACTTTACTGACAATATTAGCTATTTTGTCTTGGGCAATGGGGAAGAGAAGGTGACAGATTAAGAGTCGGGGAGAGAGAAATCATGCAGGCTTTGATTAATCAGAGCTGTCTACCCACATTTGCCTACACAAGCAGAATTAAAACCATCAGAGAAGTTTTAATGCTAGATCTCACAGGCCATAGTGGAAATAATGTGCCCTGACATTTTTAGACTTAAAGTGATAGGGTTGAGAGCAGCGTTTTGTCATGAGAAGTCCTCTGGTCATTCGCAGAGGATGCCACAGCTCCGCTTTGCCTGAGAAGAAAGAGTTAAGTCCCTTGGAGCTATGACATCCTGTCTGTTGCCTGGCGGGACCACATACTGTGACAGCTGCAAGCCTTACATCCTCTGTAGGCTGACATTTTACACGCATACCCCGTGCAGCACAGTGTTCAGCTTGTTTTCTCTATTAGCCTGAGCAATTAAAAAGGCAGCACTTTCTCTGCTAAGAGGTGCACCCAGCCCTCTCTTCTGCCTTCATGATTAAGCAGCAAAACTTTGCATTTAGAAAGGCTCTGCTGCTTATTTTTTATTACCAGTGGCATTGATACATGCTACACGCCTGTTTTTTTCTTTTGCTGTGGCTGGGATTCTTTTTGCTTGTTCGTTTCTTCTTCTTAATTGGGAAATGGTGCAATAATTTTACATTCAGCTCAGGCCACATCTGAACAAGACTATAGCTCATCCAGATAATCAAATCTGCTACAAATTTAGAATCGGGATCCATTATACAAATTCATTTTCTGCTGTCCACATGCCTTCCACTACCTTGGTACAAACACAAACATACAAACAGGACTGACAACTGGAAAAGGTTAATCTAGATCACAGCTGAGCCTATATGAAAAAATAAGAAAGCCTTGATCATTCATTATTTCATGCCTAAAGTAAATAAAGGTTTGAAAAAAAGGTTTGAAAAAAGGTTTAAACCCAAGGGGGTTTAACAGAGAAGCAATTTTGTCTTCTGGATAGGACACTGGGCAAGTGCCTAGAGATTCCCTTGGCTTCCACCATATCTTTCCTTTGATGACTTTACATACCCATGCCTATCATCCCTCAGAAAGCAAGAGGCATGAAATAGCCAGGCAGTTATTTAAGTTTCAAGAGAAGAAAATAGAGATGTTCGGCTTTAGGCTGTTCCGCGAAAGGCCTTTGCAAGGGTTCTCCAGTGCTTCAGCAGGCTTTTTCTTCTCCATAATCTTTCATCTTCAGCTCGGTGGGGTAATGCGTCCATCAGGTCCCCAAAAGAGGAGCACCTAATCTTAGGAGGACAAAATTGCATTACCTCTACCTAGCAGGGCTTAATTTAACACGTGGAAGAGACCCTGCTGCAAGACACTCCTCCGCATGTGTGTGCCTAGCCTGATCCTTTCCTTGGGTTTTACACCATTTACAATATATTCCATGCTGGAAGATTAGGCATTGCCTTTATAAATACGTAACGTTTATTTCTGGCAGAACAGAGTAGTTAAACAATAAACCAAAAAGAACTTTTAAAAATTAGGTAATGATATCTTTTTTCCTGTGATCTTTTGCTTCAAGACACAAAGAATTTTAAGCCCAACTTTTTAATTACCTACCTGTGTGTCAAATTTGCTGCGGATTTGTACTGATGAATCTGATCTAAACAGTACTTCTCCTGATCTGAGTGTGCATTTATGTCAGTACAAAAAAGCCAGCCAAATGCACGGCTTCTTTGTACACTTTTTACATTCTCTTGATTATTCTGTCAACGCATAAACCCATGTAAACCCAGGACTTGACCAAACATACAGGGATCTGTTCAGATCTTTCAGCATGAATGAGGTCAGGGAGAAGCAAAGGCAGTCATTTGTGCATTCCTACTGCAGCTAAGTGTACCTAAAGGGCTTTCCCCTTTACAACTGCTCTACTATAGTGACTTGTGTGATCATGTTGCCCTGACAACCAGTGGAGCTTGCCTTTACAGTTTTTCTACCAGATATCTGTATTTTAAGGACAGACAGCCCTGAGTTTTGTTGCCCACCAACGCTCACATTCCCCCTGGCAAACAACTGTGAAAGAAAACACAGAGGGAGTAACAAAATCACAAAAAAAAGAAAAAGCACAAAGCTAAGTGCAGTTAACAGACATTACTATTCTGTTCCTTCCCTTTACCTCACTTGCCTACATAGTACTGTTGAAGCACAAATATGTGTGTGAGAGTTTGCCTCAGTATCTTTCTGGGTTTTGATTTACAAAAAAAAAAAAAAAAGAAAGAAAAAACACACACATACCTTCAGTACAGTCCATTGTTCTACAACAATAGCGTCATAGCCCTGCATGGTTTTACTGTCTTCTACAGCAACATCTTCAAAGAGAAATACTCCATCCATTGTCCCATGTAAGGAATCTGAAAACACAGGGTTATTCATAAGCTTTATGGGAGATATCCTATGTATAGTGAGGCATTTGAATTTATTAATAACAAGATCTTCCAGGCACATTAATAAAAAAGCACACAGACCTCCTCCTGATAGTACAACTCTATAAAAGGGATGACACCGCTAATAATAAGTAAGAGCAACCACCACCGTCCACTGTCATCCCAGAGCTTGTCCTCAAAAAGCACAACTCTTCCACTTTCTGCAGGCAGAATTAATTTAGGCCTCAGCTCAGCAGTACTGCTCACCTACCTGAAGTTATACACATGCTTTGTGGCCTGAAAACCATATATATAACACGTCATGTCAACTTGTCAAGGGCTTCTGTAGGCACACCCATGATAACGACCACAGCCATTCGTTCACACAAGTCAGAGCCCTATATGTGGATCTGCGATTAAAATTACATGGTCCACATGGACTAGGGGAGGTCTGGCTTATCTGAATGGTGTGAAAGAAAAGACACATCCACGCCTATTTCATCAGTTTATGACAGCATTTTGACCATCTGGTTTAGTGGCTCTCTACCCTCAGTTGGATACCCAGCATGGCCAGTCTTTCCTCAGACTATGCGCACTATTAAAATTACTTGAGCAGCACTTTCAACTCAATCTTAGCCATACACTCCATTACCAGCAGTCACTCCCCTACGCCAGAACTCTCTCCCATGTGTTCAGATTTACCTGCTCCACCAGAGAACAGAAGAGAATCCGAATATCAGAAAATTGACTGACTTTTCCGTGCAGCATAAATAGGCCAAATGATGAAACATCTGACTTCTATTTTAAAAGCTATTGTAAAAAAAAGCAGTACTGTACCCTTTATGAACACAGAGAACTCCAATCAAATTTTCAAAAAGCATTTTTTTTCAGCTCACCCTTCTAGTTTATATAATACATTTAACCTCTATGACTGATTATAAAGATCTTGCTCGTTCCCCTAAGTGTTGTATTTTACATGATGGGTTTTTGGTATTTTTAGGAAAACTATGTTCCTTGCAATGGTATGATATATGATTTTGAAATGGAACCGCACATGCCAAACTAACAGATTCCTAAACTAATAGGACAGTCTTATCGATTTAGTGCTAGTTAACCAAAATTCTCTTTTATTCCCTCCTCCAGCTGTACATCTAAGAAAAAAATCAAAGCAATTACCACTTCCTTAAAAGAAATACTCAGGTTATGCTTTCTTCTGTAAATTTATTGTTAAAATGCTATAGCTTATTTTATTTACTATTAGAGAAGTGGTGAACAAATAGATCGTTAAAAATAGAGATATAAACTTTTTTGTCTACGATAGTGCATTGATTTTATTTACTGATGCCAAGGTATCAATAATTTTCCTTGTTTTTCCCTTCACCTACATCATTCTGTACGTAGTACAAGCTACTCATATAGCATTTCTTTGACAGCCACGCTGTAACAAGACTTGCATCCACAGCTCAACTCAGACAAGGTAACAGGAGAGGGAGTATACTTTGCAAAGCCTTCTCTTACTGGCCAGCAGCAGAACTTGAGACACAAGCATGGCTTTTCGTTCATATCTTACAGAAAGGGCGACAGACAAGACACCTTTTCAGCCATTCCCACCTTTTCTGAGTCACAGTACTCTGTGGGGGTCTCAAGCATCCAGAAAGCACACATGCTGCTGTGTCTTCCACACTTCTCCCATTTTCCTCCTCAAAATAGAGTCATTCTTCTAGATAAATCTGCTTAGTTATTTCCTCTCACTTTCTGTGTGGATGTTGTGAGGTCATGAGATGCTAGCCAGAAAGCACCACGACCTCCTAGGGAAAACACATATCAAACTTGTGAGCAATTTTCACAAAGGAGGCGGGGAAGAGGATTAAGTGGCTTCCTACTTCCTGCAGACACAATCTCAGTCGTCATCTTCTGATGTGATCTAAATTAAATTCATTATCTGGAAATGCAAAGCCCAGAACAAACCAGACTCCTACAGCTGAAGACTTCTGTCTACAAACGCACGTAGCAAGACTGTTGCAGGTGTAAAGCACGTGCACGTCCCCTTGCTCCTATATACATGGTCACCTACTCTCTTTTGTGCAGTTTCAATCAAATCATTAAGTTATAAAGGAGCAGATGCAAATATTCATGTCTAAAACAAAACAGATTTTTGAGCTCCGTTGAGAGGAGAGAAAATTTTAAACCACTTACTAGTAGCTTTCCTTGGGATTCTGTTGGGAGACTAAACTAGAAAAATACACTGTCTACTTTCATGCCGTCTGACTCCCCAGACAGACTTCCTCTAACTCCGTTCAGAATAAAGAGGGAAAAAGAACCTCATCACTACAATTTGCTGTTAATATATATTGCTCCAAAGAGGATAAACTGGACTACAAAGCAGTAACTCCTTTCAGCAGCTCTATCTGGAGGAAGATGAGGGTAAGGGGCAAAAAGGGAGGTGTTTTGCATTTTTGTCACCTAGATAAGATTTCTTCATCCCAGTGAGGAAAATAGATATTTTTGTTGAGAAACAGTAAGTAAGAACAGTTAAGTGACGGAATTACAGGTTACAGCATAGCAAATGGGGTACAAGATTTAATCATCATATTTCATTCAGAAATGGCACTTTGTTAGGCCCTAGATTTGAAATTGGGAACCAACTCAACTTCTGTGCAGAATACCTTATTCCAATACCAAACCTATATCCAGATGAATAATAATCAAATAACCCTTTAATTTTCCAAAGCAGGGATCACAGGACAGCAGCTAAGGCCAAAAGCAGAAAACCATGGATCACCACTACACACAGACATTCAAATCTTGTAAGAGAAACTTCATACAGAGTAGGTGTTCTGTTAATGAATTGTGAATCCTATTAATCAAATCCAACATCACACTCTTGCCACAACTGCACCTTGAGTTCTACCCATTCATTTGCCAGCTATTTAATAAGGGATCAAAACACAATCAGCATGTGTGTGTTTGCACTCACTCATAAATCATCCTTTATGCTTCATTCTGCTGTGCATTCCAATTGCACAGTTCACAGCTTTCACATATGTGAACATTATGGCACATATGTAATGTTTTAGAAACTAATAATTGAGCTTGTGAGACCCTACAGGCAACAGATAAACGTGGCTGAACTTCCCTGTTGGATGTACAATAATTACCATTGAATGCTACATCCAGTTCAATCAATTCTAAGATTCATTTATCTTTTGGCTAGAAAAGACCCCTATGGAAAATCAGAAAACTAGAAGGGGAAAAGTGATGAGAGGTAGACAGCTGATGCATGCTGGTGTCTGTTCAACAGAGTGATGCTTATGAAAAGCTCCATAAGAGAAACTGGTTGATGACACTCATTTCAATTTTCCCCCTTAATGATAACCAGATCTCCTCACTACCTGCCCCGCCACAGTGTTTAACACTTTCTTGCCATGAATACATGTCTGCCAGTTCTCATACCATGGCAGCACATCTTCCCTTTTACAGGTCATCTACCGCTCTACCAGCTCAAAGGGGGAAGTTGAGGAAGAAATAATTGGACCATGCATCCCCTATCATGCGAAGCTTTTGGGATGCTGAGAATAACTGCGGGAGAGGAGAAAGCAGAAAGAAGACTAAGGGTATTGTATTTTGGAGAAAATGCACACATAACCTACCCTACAGTGTCAGGAGTAGCAGGAATTTCAAGGAAACTCTTACACAGAGGTGTGGAAGCACTGCAATTTAAGGACAAGGAATTGGATAGATAAAGTCTACTGGCAATACCTTTATCCCGCAGATGCTCAGGAGTCTGCAGCAACTTAGCCTACAATCACACGTTCTAGAGCTGACCCACGAGGTGGGATTCATCTCAACTAACATTAGATATCTATAATATAGATGTCTACAGTGGAGTTGGTCATCTAAGGCTCTCTTTACAATCAAGAGAGAGAAATAATCATTATTTCATCCAGAACACAACTTCATGGAATCATAACATAATTCAGGTAGTAAGGGACCCCTGAGGTCTCTAGTCCAACTCAAGACTCAAAGCAGAGTCAGCTACAAGAACGGACCAGGTTGCTCAGGCTTTATGCAGTTGGATCTTGAAAACCTCCAAGGATGGAGATTGCGCAGCCTCTCTGGACAGTCTCTTAAAGTGTTCGACTGTTTTCATAGCAAAAACATTTCTTCTTGTATCCAGCTATAACCTCTTGTTTCCATTTATGCACACTTTTTCTCAACCTCCCACCACATACCCTCAGTAAAGAGCCTGGCTCCTCCTTGTAAGTACTGGGTGGGCTGCTGTTAGGTCCCCCCTGAAGCTGTGTCTTCTCCAGGCTGAACAAGCTCCCTCAGCCTGCCCAAGCTCCCTCAGCCTGCCCTCACTGGGCAAGTGCTCCAGCCCTTGACTGTCTTGGTGGGCCTCTGCTGAGGTCTACTGTCACTATATCACCCACCCCAATTTATCTTTTAGATGTCTTTTAGATTTCTACTGTAGGATGAGGTGCATCACAATGCAGATCCTACTGGACTGTACTGGTTCAGGCCTAGATCTCCACTGGCTAGCATGCCACTTTGGGTTGACAGCTCAGATGTAGACATCTGCAGGGCAGATTCCTACATTTATTCAGCTGAATCTCACCTCAACTATCTGCAAAATCAGCCATCTAAAGCTTTATATAGAGATACATTAAGCTAGTCTTTTCAGTTACCCGTTTCTCATGCAAGGTATTCCCTGACTCTGATATGGTTGCAACCTCTTTTGATAATCTCCTGTTTAACAAGACTGATCTCCTGCATTAGGCTGCATTAAAAAGCTCCTTGGTAATTCCAAATGTTGGCCCATTTGCAATAGGGCAGTAAGTCATGCGAATAAAATAAACCATTTTGACTTCGCTCAGTTCATGGTGGCATTTTCCACGCCAAGGTCTTGAACACACGTATCTTCATTCTTTCTTAAAGAAAAGGCTCAGAACGTAAAGGTTAAAATCACCTTCCTTCTGCTGAAACTGTTCCATTACCACTGCATTTTTTATTGAGGTACCCCACTGTGCACAAAAAGCTATTTTCACTGGGTTGTATAAATATTTGATGTAGTTCTGTTGACAAAAAGCTGTTTTAATGTTCTTGCTTCTGATTTACAAGAAGTGTATGGGAAAAGATTTCTTATTTTACCATAGCAAGTCCACTAGCGGGCAAGAATTTTCCCAGCGTTGCCTCTGAACTACAAAGCCCCCTCATCTAGGAAGCTAACCTGTAACCTATTGTTCTCAATGAGGAAAACTAACTATCAGTGAGTTTATGTGGCATGTGATCTGAATGTTGGCCTCTGCTTGATATTTATAACCTCTCTACCTCTGAATCTTTTTCCTTCAGTACACACAGAGAAAATAATTCCATACAGATGATAAAAATCCCAGCCACTTCAGTGGGTAAGGTGAATATAATTGGCCAAATGCATCACTAGTTCCACTCTGTCAAAGGCAGTGCAAATACAACAGGGACAACCAATCTGGCCCTCTAAAAACCTGACTGCTTTTCTCTTCCAAGCAACTCTTATTTTGTTTTCTTTGCTTTGTTTTTAAATACCGTCAATGATTTCTGTTTGGCTGGCTAGTTTTTTCTAAGTTTGAAACTCAGGAAATTCACAGACAAAATGGCAAACAAATACAAGAACACCATGTATTTAAAGAACTGTAGTTCAAAACAACTAAACATGTGCAGGCTTGTAATTATACAGAATCACAGAATAGTTGGGGTGGGAAGGGACCTCTGGAGGTCGTCTTGGTCTAACCCCCTTGCTCAAACAGGGTCACCTAGGACTCTCCTAGGACCAGGACCGTGTGCAGGAGGGTTCTGAGTATGTCCAAGGATGGAGACTCCACCACCTCTCTGGGCAACCTGTTCCAGTGTTCAACCACCCTCACAGCAAAAAAAGTTTTTCCTTATATTCAGATGGAACTTCCTGCATTTCAGTTTGTGCCCACTGCCTCTTGTCCTGCCACTTTTTCTTAACTCACTTAAGTTACCAGAACATAACCTTAACTTTGATTCTCCCTCCCTTCTCACCCTCACCTACTCTCACACTGCTGATGGGATACTTGCTGTTATACGAAAGAAGCAGATGCTGCCTGTTGTATCCTTGCTGCTTGCAGTGCTGTTAAGCTGTTATCACTACGGTCCCCACTTCTCACTAGGAGAGGGAATGGGTAAAGTCCCATGATCACCTGAGTAGAGCATTATAGAATGCTCTATAGGTCATATAGGTCTATAGGTCAGGTTAGACCTAGGATTATAGGCAGAAGCAGCAATGACCTGAGTTGGATAAAAAACACCCTAAAGTGACTAAGCTCAACATTTAAATAACTGCAGTAGTTAACATAAGAACATTCAAGGAATAAGCAAGCAAAACCTAAAAATATTTAATGCATGGTGTAGCTCTGCGTGGTTTACACATCGTCACTAGCAATCACGTTATCTTTCTTAATTATTTGGTACAAAAAGAAATAATTGTAATCAGTGAACTTTAAAACTCTTTTACACAAAAGTATTGGCAAAAGGACAAAATGAATTTATGATTACTGACAATGTGGAAATCTTTACTTCATTGAGCATTCCAAGGACAAGGGGAAAAAAGAATGTAATAACTCTGCTTTTAAGTCTAATATGCAAAATAATGGATTCATATTTTAAGGCAAAGAGAAAAAATCCAGAAAAGAGGAAAACCCCCAGAACAAAGAAATGTAATATAACCAATGAAAGAAAGTCTGCTGATATTACCTTAATTTGGAGGAGGATTAATCAGTGAATTAGGAGTCCAGCTAGTGAGGAGCTGGATAGGCTGCCATAAAAGACCAGAAAAAAGTAAAGAGATAAGAAGCCCTCAGCCTCCTCTTTCCTCCCTCCCCCTTCCTCTGGGTTGCTTCACATCAGCATACGACTACATAAGCTGTATCATTTCTCTGCAGCATGGGAAAATTTTAGGATTTAAATCATAAACCTTTAGCTGCAGCTGGCAGAAACTTACAAATGTTCTTAGCAAATGTTCTTCTAATACCATGGACATATTCATGGCTTTTATCATATTGTTCTAGCTAATATTCACACTTTTTAAAACCTTAACTCTGAACTTCTTGACTTTTGACTATAAAATGTAACTATAAAATACTAATACAAATGTTTGCAACAGTCTAATTTCTATCTCTAATCTAACTTAACTCTGAATCTGTCCACTTTTATATAATTCAATTACAAATTTCTTGTTCCATTTGCACAGAAACTTCACTGTCCTTATTCAGCCTTACTATATCTATGTTTGGGCATTATCAGGCACTCCTCACTGTGGTATCCAAGTGCAAGAACTACTCCCCGAGTTCTGTTATGTAAATGAACTTTAAAAGTTTAAAACACAGAAAAATGCTATGTTTAAAGCATTTTAGAGTGCACTGATAAGCGGTTTTTATTAAAGAAAACACTGAGCCTCATATAGCCAATTAGATTTGACTCTATGAGTTGCAATTTATACACATAAAATAAACGATCATTTGTTTTTAAGCAAGTTAACTAGCAATTACAAGACTTTCCAGGAAGCTGTGCAAAAGCATTCCATCAACTGAACTTTAGACCTTCCTTTTTTGCTACTTGCTGCAAAATGAAAAATAAGGACTGCCCTTTAATTTCCCAGTTGCATTTTACCAGAACAAACTAATGTTACTGTTTTTTTTTTTTATCACGGGTCCGGGAATTCTGACCAGCTGCAAAATAGGAAGAAGATGCTCTGGAAGCAGTTCTTCTATGATTTTGCGGCTCAAACCCACAAACCTTAGAGGCAGCGCCCAATCTATGGGTTGCCATGTACCTTCTGAGGAATGCAAAACAAACCAAAATTAGGTGAAAGATTCATAGCATTTACAAGATTCAGCCCTAAGCATTTGAACTGTGAAGTATACTCGTAACATATTTTTATCCAGAGATAATGCCAACATTTTTATGTTCAAGTGTTTTCCTTCCCTCAGCTTGTTCTCATAGTTCCTTGGTTATGTGCCTCAGATCTTTGTTATTAGACACCAAAATCCTTCTCTGTACCACAGACGCAAGCTTGACTTCAGAGACAGCAGGTAGCCAGGCGCGTAGCACAGACTGCCTGCAGTTTTAAGCTGGGTTCAAATCTTGGATTCAGTGCTACGTTTTCACAGTGTGCAAACATCTTTTTTTTAATTTACTCTTCTTATATTAAGACCAATGTCGACCCATCACTTGTACACACTAGCTAGGATGAAACAGAGATGATAATTTTGTAAAACACTGCACTGTCAAGGTGAAAAGGGCCCCTGCAGAAACCAGTAGCAGCTGACCATATTTTGGACATACAAAAGTGGAGGGACCGTATACTGACCTATGATCAGATCCAGATGCAGTGTGTGGCCAGACAGCTATTTTGCTGTGTGCTTTACAATCTTATTTTAATTCATTTTCCTTGGTGCTTTTTATTAAGTCTGTATATTCCTGCGGTTACAGAATCATCTCTATTATGTTTATAAAATACAATACATGATCTCAGTTTTCCTTATTCCAATGCCAAAATATTTCCTGTGCTTTCATTCCACTTCACTGAAATGGGCTGATCTAAAACAAATCTGCCCCAAGCCTACGCTAAAAGCACCTCCCAAATGTCTTCTCTTCAAAGATAATGACCTCTATTAGAGGAGAAAGGAAAATAATCACAGCATAATGCTTTCTCTAATTTCCATACCATTTACCATTCCAAGGCTGAAGATGGCGTTTACCAACGAGCCTCCTTTCCTGAAGTGATCTGTCATGTGCTCCAGCCAATTTGCTTCCAAGCTGTTGACAGTCTGCCCATTCCTGGAGATCCTCATAGGGATAGTCACCGTGTAATACTGACTGCATCTTTGTGGGGTTTTTGGCTTGTTGAAGAGAGCAAAGATCTCTGTTTCTACCAAAAAATAAAAACTGAAGTTGGAATAATACAACAAACATAACATGATACTTTAGCTAAAACGTTTGCCCTTTCCTAATTACACTGAACAGCCACAAATACTCTGGGGAGATAGTTTTCTCCTTAAAACATTTGTGCAGTGTCTGGCATGCTAGGGTCCCAAATACCAATACAGTATTTTGATTGTTGTTATAGTATTTATTATTAATAATGTATTTACTGTGGAAAGTAAAACATTTAAAGATAGTAATACTTGAGCACTACTTGACTTCCCTCTTCCTGGACTTATCAGTATAAATAAACATATGAAGACAAATAAGCTCTACAAATTGCATAAAGTGCTGTAGAATTCACGTCACTACTAGAAAATAATGCAAATAGCATTTATGTTTTTCCACTGAATGAATTGTTAGAAGATCTGTGACACCGAGGACACTTCGAATCTCAAATCTCACTGCAAATTTAGGAGTAACTGCATTCCATAGATCATGACCATTAAACTAACGTCTTAAATAACTTGTTTTGGTAATACGGTGGCATGGAACCAACAAGGAGTAGAGCAAGCTAAAGAAAATGCAATGAATCATAAATACAGAGACTATGCTAGCTGGTTAGCTGATTTACGCTGGGCCTGAGCCAAGGCAAGACGCTAACACAACAGCAAATGGATTCTGGAAAGCGGAATTGTGAAAGGTCTTACAGATGAGAACATCTTCTAGACTCTGCCACATATCACTTCTTGTATATCTCAGGGGAAGTTAATTTAGTCTTCCTATTATAGAAAAAGTCAAATGTTGGCAACAAAAATATTCACAGCTGTAAAGTTCAAAGTAAGTTTAAGTGCAGATACACCTTCCAAATTTTCAGGAAGGTATAACCATCAGTAAAGCTACTGATTTAAAATGGTTGCACATTATTATTTCACTCATTCATGGACAAGGAAATCAATGGTAAAAGTTCTGTTGACTTCCAAGAGCCAAAATTTTCCCAAAAGTAAATTAATTTAAAGGGCAAAAAGTTCATAAGGCCCCTCAACTTGAAAGCAGTTCCTCTTGTTTCCAAGTGATGATGTTCTAATCCCAAGTATTATAGTGAAGAAAGTGAAGTCAAGAGAGATGTTAAGATTCCTCTCTCTCAGAAATGTCACTGAGCAACAAGAAGTGTATAAAATGAAAAAGATGATTTCAGAATGGATATGCTCCGAGAGAGGCTACCAGCACTTGAAGAACAGAGCAATAAGCTCCATACATAACCAAATATGAAAAAGAGATCTAATGGTCTCAGAGGCGAGACATGATTTAAATAGAGTAAAAGGCAGTAAGTTGCCAACATGAATCCTCTTGCTGTTTACCGCTTGTTTAGAATGAACAAAATGATGGGAATAACTCAAAAGAGCAAACACAGAGAACTTAGGTATTCAGTTTGATTCTAGCTCCTAAAACAGTGTTGGAAAGAGAGATTTTTTGGTTGTGCATGAAGACATTACACTAACAGCAAAACACGGAACTGGAAGCCCGTACGGAGATGGTAATTTGGATTTGACACTGGCCTATGGACACCACGTATTTGAAATCTGTGGCAGTCTTTCAAAGGCTGACGTGGTTTGTAACCATTACTGAGCATATACTACACCAGTCCTAGCTGCAGTTCAAGATCAAGCCACTACCGACAGCAGTTTTCAACGGGGAGCTTGACTGCTTAAGTATAGACAAAGTCACCTTCAATTTGATTCTAGAAAACACAAAGCTTTTGGCATAACATTGGAATATTTTTGCTTTGCTCACAGGCAAATAATTTTCAACACACATTTTGAGAGCCCTTTAATAAAAGGGAGTGATTGAGCACTACAAAATATTCGGTAAAAAACTGAAGCATAAAAATCACTCTTGAATGGTGTAAAATCCTAAATAAAAGAATACAATTAAGATTCCATAAATAGTAAGAAGTAGTACATTTTTTCTGAAGTTTTATGCAGGGAAGAAGGAGTCTGAGAGTGCTAACTTCCTACTGAATAAGTAGGCTAACTGGAAAAAAGAAAAACACCTGGTGCTTTCTACCTTCAAGTTCACAAGGAAGGATGGAGGACTGATGCCAAAGACTGAAATACATTTTCCATGGGAGGAAAAGGGAGTGCTGTGATAATGAAAAGTCAGACTGGAGTAATAAAGAAATCAGCAATGTTGTATAGGCAATATATCTGGGAATATCCTACTATAGCTGAGCTATTTCACTATCTGTCACACACAAAACTACCTTCCCAGACTTTTACTCTTGGAAAGTATTAGCATAAATCACAAGTTTAAAAAACGGATAACAAATAAATACATTCAAGTCAAAAAGCACTCAGAGAGAGAAGGATAAATAAATAAACTAAAAGGACTTTAAAAATAAAAGCTCTTGTCTGGCTAACCAGCAGATTTAATAAAATCCTAGGGTATTGCAGGCAGACAGAGTAGGGAACGCTTGAGGTGGTTCAGCTTCACACTACACAGAAATATTAAAAACATGGTTCATTGCACTAAAAGATTTCCAATGTTCAGTGTGGAGAAGAAGAGCATCAAAATATAATTAAACTTTTTGGGTGAACTGTCTCAAAGATAGAGCATATAAAAAAAAGCGATAGAATTGGTCTGACTGACTTGGAGATAGCTAATTTAGAGCTACAAGACTAAGAGCGGTTAGCGGTTCTACAATGTGCAAGATGACAGCATAAACCAGAATAAATTATTCAAATAATAGCTATGCTTTCACCAAATCTGGCTGACCTCTTGCCCAACAAAACTTGAAGAAACTATGGTGAAAGGTTACTAGAGCTTGATCCAAATCTGATGACAAAAAAACCTAATTGCATCAAAATGCAACGGAAATCAAGACAATAGTCCAGCGAGAAGGCCATGTACATTCATTCTCAGTCCTACATATAAAATTCCCAAAGGCGCAGGATTGTTTGAATGAATCCATGTAAAACATAAAGAATAGGGGTAAAGTCAAGGACAGCACCAACTCAAAGGAATGTCGATGGAATTTCCTTATGTAGACTGGTAGCTTGTAAGGAAAGTAAGCAAAGCAGTAAGAGAAACAAATGCATAAAATATTTTCTAGAATTTAGGCAAATATAGGGAAAAAAATGTTCTGAGGTTTAAACTGGGAAGGAGACAAGGACTTTTTGTTCTGACTTTTTCTTCTCTAAATTATTCTAGTCCGCGTCCTATTTTCAGCTACAATTCCTGCCACTGAATTAACCTCCCAGAAACAAACAGCTTAAGGAGGTTATTTTGCGACCTGACAGGAGATTTGTTTTTCAGTTGGTATAAAATGACATTTAAAAGTAGAAAGCACACCTGAGGAAAAATATATCAGAGAAACTGGCATATGAAGAATAATCTTCCAAAAATATATGGGAATAAGAAGGCAAATTATTAGGAGCACCATTATCAGAAGGACCATTATTGTGAATTTCCAGACAGGAACCATCAACAAAAATAACCACTACTTTCCAGTAATTACAATTCTAACTTTAGCATTGACCCCAGCCTAACTAGCAGACTCAGGGTCCGAGTCACATACACTCCTATCATTCCTGATTTAGTTTCTGCTATCTGTTCACCTGCTGCAATGGGCCTAAATGTGATACGGATGTGAGACGTATTCCTGCTCTTGCTGCAAAACCTTCTCAGACAAATTAGCAGGGTTTCTTTTCAATGGATAAAAAGGATACAAAGATCAAGAGCTCTCAGGGTATCAGCACCAAATACAGAAATGAATCAATTCAGCTGAAGAGCAGACAAAAGTAAGCCTTCAAACTCAGGCATGCAAACTAGTCATAACAAAGGTGCATCTGCTCATAGCCTCTCTCCAGCTGCCACTTGACTTATTCTCAGTCACTGTGAACATGCTGAAAAGCAGGGTAAGTTGTTCATTTGGTGCATCTTCTCTACTCTGTTACAATGGTAGGTTCCTCACCCAACCCCAAGCCCCCAAAGAGGCTAGGAACATAACTGAGGCAATTTTAAATTTGGCTTTTATGCATTAGAGGCCACGACAATACTTACTGCCTGCAAGCTGTTTTGAACTTTGTGCTGGTGTTTCACTCTCTGTTACTCCGTTCTGCTTGTCGGCTGCTTCTCTTAAGCTTGGGTTCTCATGTTCAAACTGTTCTTCATTTTCCCTTGCAGGCTTAACATTCAGCTGCTCAGTAGCCTGTCCTTCACCTCTACCATCCTCCCTGGATGTGGCACATTGGTCAGCGCTTTCCTCACTTGTTGCTAGAGTATTGCATCCATTAATGCCATCCATTTTCTCGCTATCCAGTGAAGCATGATCCTCAGGGTAATTTGAAACGTTTTTATTATCTCTTGATTGCACAGAGTTGTTACTGGTGGGTGTCGGAGAGCAGCTGACAAGGCAGTTCTTTTGGGAATGGTACTGAGGTATAATTCCAACAAATTTCAAGCCTTGACTTGCAGCATCTTGAATCTACAAGTCAAAGAAGATTAGGTTTTAACTGACAAGCTTTCTTAACTACACAGAAATACAGAAAATAACACCCATCAAGGGAGCTAGAATGCCATTTTACTACTTTTGTCCACTATCACAGGAAATTGTCATGTTATATTTACATAAAACGTTAAACTCTAGTTAAGCAGGATGATTTAGTTCCCTAAACAGTGTGTAATAATGTGAAAGTGCAAAAAAAAGAGATAATGCCTCCACATGTCCTCACCAGGGATAAAATATCTATTTGAAAAGCTTACTTATGCTAAATTAACAGAAGTGGTATTACTCAAATGCGTTTTGAGTAATGAGTTTTGACTGTATAAGGAGCGCTCTGATTATGACATTTATGCAAGGAAAAGTTCATTAATTCCCTTTGCTATATGCACCATTATAATAATAGTTTTTGTTTTCCCTATTCTAGATTAGAAACATGCATGGCAAACTTTCATATAATGACTGTATAAAAAGTAAAGCTATTTCAATATATCACTTTTGGTAAGATACAGAACTCACAGAATAGAAAAAGGAGTTGTGAGACAAGCAAAGAAGAAAAAAAAAAACAAATACTAGGACTGCAGTAGTGTTAGTACTTTACATGATAGGTAAAGGAGGAAAATGAAGGAATCAAATCATGAAAGATCCTCAGAAGAAAGCACTGGGCTAGTAGTAAGGACAATTAGTAAAGCGGGAATTAACTAATGGAAGGTTTGAGATGAAGCAGAAAGAGAAATCTCCGTTACACAGATTCAATGTTTCTGACGCACCATCCATTGAATCCATCAGCCTCCTGAAACAGAGGAGAAACTGCAGCAAGAGCCGGACTTTCATGAAGATATATGAGTGTCTACTGATTCATTTATCAAAATCATCAGCTACAAAGGAAAGGTTTTCTGTGTAACGTGTACTCTTCTTATAATAAAGATTAAAAACATACAAACATTTCAAAAATAAATGCCCTGAGAATGAAGGCATAATTTAACTTTCTGTGCATAAAGTATCCTAATTATTCTCTGAAGTTCAGCTTAGTATTCACCTAAGTATAACAGTTCAGGCTTTTTCAGTAGCAAGTAAAATACTGAACTCTACATGAATTTCTAGTTTGAAAGCACAAAGGAGGGAACAGAAGAAGGAAGATTTTTGTACAACTTTTTTTTTTTGTTGTTAAGAGGAAGTTCATTTCTGCATCTTCCCTACCGAGATTTTTTTTTTTTTTTAATGAATCATCTACTTCCTGGCAACGTGTTACTGTTCTGAACATACAGACAAACCTACAGATGATACCTGATCAACAAGAACTTCCTCTTTCAAACCACTGTTATTTTTTCCATGTTAAATTAACTCTTAAAATTGTGATGGCAGGAACTTAAACACAGTTCTCCAGGAAATAAGGCAACGCTCTTTGCAGGTGTTCAGCCTGATGAACATGAGATGCTGATTTAAGTAACGCTTATTGCTAAGGTGGATAATAACCTCCATATAAAAATACTATTAACAGTATCCTTATCAAATGGATGTTTTTCTACAAAGGAAGTTAGTACATAGCTGGCTCGCTCAGCAAGGCTTAAGTCAATGTCAATGACAGATGGACTCATACTATGCTTATAATGCCTTACTCCCAGTTGCAATTTTACAAATACTTTTTTATACACTCCTTGACAGACACAGTTACAAATACAGTTCATCTATCACCACTAACCTAGACTACATTTGTTTAGTAGGTTGCAGGGCAGCTAATTATAGAAATGTAACTGTTAAGAGTTTGCGGATAGTACACACGCTGCATGTCAATCCACATGAGGCTCTCCCACATCGGGCTCAGGATGAGAACAGCTTTCACAGCTACTGTAGTTACTGTACATCACAGTCCTGGCAAACTCGAAAAACATATCTGTTCTAAGAGATGCCTGATCTTGAGGTATTCTTCCAAGGCTCCTCTTCTCAGAAGCAGAAGAGGAGGAACTAAGGACAGCGTGATAGTCTAAGCTGTATTAGCCTAACACTACAGCAGAAAGATTGAAAAAACCGAATGCACCTTCAAGGCCCTTCTCAAACAATTTAATCAGCAGTATATAGGATATATTATCTTATGTAAACCTGCATTTCAATTTTTTTCAACTACATAAGGGAGGATCAAGCATCTATTTTCAATAAAGCCAATATAGCAGGAAATGTTGCATCAACAGGGCAATATAAGCTGCAAAACAGCAGAGTGATGTATTAGCAGATGCAAACAGTCTGTCTTTCCAACTTTCCACAAAAATACGAAGAGGCTAGCTCTCAGCATATAAAAAAATGAAGCCTTAACATTTTCAAATTAAAAATGAAGGCAACTTGATTTCTGGGCATCCTGTTTAGAGTTCAAATAGTACAAAATTTCAGTTGCCTGTACATCCAGAATGAGTTATCCCATCCAGTATATATTTCAATTTCCTGTATTTGAAATATTTACAACTGTCTTTACTCGGTAACTGCAATTCAGAAAAATACCTCATATATTTAGGGGTCTACCTTTTCAGAGTATAAAAAAGCCATTGTTTTACCCCTGATTTTGGCTACAGTTGCCCACCATTCTGCATCATTTAAAACTACTAAGTTAAAATATATGATGGATTCAGGACACGTAAAGAAAAGTTTTATTGTTATTACTACTTATTGTTGCTGCTGTTGGTTTAAAGGGTGTACTTTTCTTTCCAGAACGAAAGGGAGCAAGATAGTCTGAGCTCAGGTAGCTCAAGAAATACACTGATAAGAGAGCCCTTACATACGATGGAGCCGGGTTACGTGCTGCTACAACTTGAATGCTGACAGTTCCCTCTGAAGGCATTGGGAAAGGGTGAAGGGAGAGGAGATCTAAAGCTCCTGAATAAAGCAAACATAACTAGTGTTGTCCCTGCAGAACTTGCTGAAGAACTGTACTTCTGCAAGTTCCACAAGTTCCATAGACGTTTAGGAGGATTACTTCACGCGCGTACAACCCTAAGTCAAGCGACATGGGCAGCCTTCGTAGACACTCTCGAAAGCAATCGGGCACAAAGCTCCTCATGGAAGACCCAAGCAGATGTTCAGCAGTGCCTCCAAGGAAATTATCACGAGGAGGAATGCCGTTTCCTGCTGCTATTGCTGTGCATGTGCCTTGGATGACTGGCTGCATCTTTAAAATACTACGCAGTATACACTAGTGCTGGGACCCCTCACCAAAAAGCTAAATGAAACCACAAGGAGTAACCTAGCGTATCAGCTTCACTTCACCCCAAAAGCTTTAGAGGCATCAAATAAAACCTTCTTGCGCATAGTGAGATACTTGGTTTTACCACTTTACTCAGAAAGAAGAGCTGCTGTAAAAACCAAAAACAAGACTCAAACCAGAAGCCCGAACCTCCATACCCCGACAGGTTGTGCCCAGGAGCTATGCGGCGACATGGCGCAGAAGGGCTGCTCCTATCAGCCACCTGCAGCTGTTCGACCCTTTAAGGCAGCTGATGCTGGTACACACAGACAACTGTGTCTGATCCAGAATACCAGCCTTTGGGAAAAACGTCCTAGCAAATGAGGTATTTGGAAGCAGTGAGAAGGAAACACACGGGAGAAAGCGGGGGTCGAGCTGGGCTGAATGGAAAGAGCGTGGTTCTGTGAGGCTCATGCAGGGTGTACTCCAGACTGAATAACTATCACAAGCAGTTGTCTTTATGTGCCAGTCTAGGGTACTAAAGGTGAAAGGACCTTCTCTTCTGCTGCAGTACTAAACGAGAAGGAAAAGCATAAAAAGCTGAAGAACTGCATTTCCACCGTTTGCCACATCAGAATAAAGCCAGCACAAAAATGCCCTTACACGAGGCAACGCACAGTGATTTCAATTACTTGACTGATCTTTTTTATATTTTAAACATGCTACATACCAGTTGTTCTTTAGAGCTTGGGGCTTTTTTGAAAGGGAAATTCCAACAAGGTAAAAAAAAAATTCTTTGGTTCTTTCCCCAGACAGGAACAGAAACATTTTTAGTGCCTAATAAAGTGTTGCATGGATGATACTGACCACAGACAAAAGGGCAGGTCTCCATCACAAAGATGGCATTGTTCAACAACAGAAACAGAACTCATTTATTTTAATCTGGGTAAATCCCTAAGTGGGTATATCTAAATCGGTTTATAACTGGCACGTATCAAATTGGACTTGCGGCAATTTAAAAATAGAATCTGTTTAAAGAAGGGTGAAATTTAATGTGCATGGAGGGCTGAGGCAGTTACAGAATTTAATACCATCTCTATAATTTGCTTGATTAGAAACTTGGCATTTTCCCTGAGGGGTAAAAATGACAGATTTAGCCTTTGCTATCTGTGAAACAAATACGAAATCTCCCACTAACTCTGGCAGAAACAGGAACAAGCACTGTGTTAAACCCCTGATGTCACCACCTTAATTGAATTTTAGCTGAATTTAGTTAACATTTCTTAGCATTTGTGAAGTATTGTTGTTTATCTCGTAAGTGACTGACCACTACTTTTGTACTGCATTTGGAATAAAAGGACAAGCAGCTCCACAAAACAATGTCACTAAACATTATGTTCATGTAGCAATTTCGTGGCCCATCTTTTTAACCACTTCTGGTTCCCTTGAAGGCTTCCTATCTAATTAGAAAATAGCTGTCAGTCTAATTTAAAGATCTGAAAAACTACACCTTGCAACAGTACAGCTGAATGATGAAATCCTCTTTCCTGAAAACTGCGTTTTTTAAACCAGACATCACAACCATGGCAGAAGTTCAGAACACACAGGCTGAAAAGTCATTTTGAGCAGGTATAGTCAGGTTTTCTTCTCAAATCTATTTAGAATAAAGACACTTCGCAAGTTCATTGTTCATTCCAAGTTTTGCCTGTGATTCTGTGCTTATTGTTGCATTGGGAGCTCCAAAATATACTCCTATTTATAGTGAGCAAGATGGTATTACTTATCAATACAGAAACTCCAAGGTATAGATACA